TTCCCTCCATAATTTCAATATGGGCATCAGTCACTAGATCACTTTCTGTTGGTCGCCGCGTCTTTTTGTAGAGTTTTCGGTCATTACGCGTGTCGGTCAGCTTGTCAAGCTCTTCGTAATCACGCATTTCGGCCTTTCTATTTTTTGAGAGGATTTTCTTCGGACGGAATAGAATATGATGCKTTGATGAAGCGTTGACATGCTTGTATTGACTCCGAAACCTATTTGGAAGGCGATAATAAAGATTTGTAACTATTACAATGCGTGAAGATGTGTTGTTTTTTTTTATCAATTCGGTTCCTTATACAAAAAATCGAGTAGTTCGGGCGTTCGAAAAAATAACGATTAGCGTAGGTAATAACGGGCAATACTCTCCTTTATTTTCTCATTTAACGTTACACGCACGAGTTATGAATATTTTTATACTTTATACACTATTCACCATAAGTTCGTGGCAACGCTGGCTGTTAATGCATTTGTTCAGGTAAATTTTCGTATTTCTACCGAAATGACAAACTGTATTTWTATTGCCATTCTTAGTTATGCATTTGTTATTGTAACTGACAACGAGTCAACATGTGGGTGATGATAATAAATGAGCTCTCAGTTGCTTAATTAAAATTTCATAGCAGCCTAAAACAACAATGCGTACGTCCTTAAATAGATTTCTAAGCAAATATTACTTGCTAAATATGYACAAATACTTACATGCATGCAGACGTATTATTACATATTCTTATGCTTGGTCTGCCTTTACGATTGCATCCGCACTTAATATATTATTAATGAAGCTATTAATGCGGAATGTCCGCCATCAAAACGGACGATATCTAATATTGACCACGACGTCCTACGCCCACTCTCCGTCTGTCTGTCTGTCTGTCTGTCTGTCTGTCTGTCTGTCTAACTATCTACACATCTGTCCGTTATAGCGACGTTAATATGCATGATAATAATAAAGATAATGCCAGGTTAAGCCAAGTGAAATGAAACGCACTGCAAATAGTTGCTGCYRCTTGTTGTTRTTGTTGTTTACGTTKTCGAGTTGGCGAMACAAATGTACTTACCGTTTTTGGCTTGTCTGCTGTTATATGCGATTATATGACAAACGGTATTTATAAGGATATATATATATATATACTATAAATGTATGTGCATGTGTATGTGTATGGGTATGTGTTTACTTGTGAGGTCCCAGGTGGAGCTTGCTCGCACCTTTAAATATACATGGAAACTAATTTGCTAACATGTGTAAATTTAGAAAATGTACCTATACACAGTTGATGGCTTGTTTCTATGTAAAGGGTGATCCATTTCGCGGTTCGCAACTTTTTAAAGAAATACACAGAACTTTTAAACTTAATGGGGAATGTTGGCCATTGAGTCTAATTTTCGATGATCGTTAGAGCATTTCGACTAGTAACTAACGACCCACGTGATGTTTTGCTTCAAGGCCTGAATYGAAGCGGGATTGTCTCCGCATAAGCTTTAGACTTTACATACCCCATATTATAATGTCCAATGGTGTGATATTGTGATATCACACGATCTTGGTCGCCAATTGACCGGCCCAAAACGTGAAATTTTTTGCTAACCGAATCCATTGATTGAATAGTCGGTTATCATGGGACGATAATAGTCGCCATTGACGCTTATGTTTTCATCGCCATTATTTTTGAAGAAATATGGGCCGATGTTTCCACTGGCCCAAAAACCACATCAAGTCGTTTTTTTTTTTGTTTTTTTTTTCTGGATGAGATGATTTTTTCTTGAATCTCTTCAAGTTTCTCTTTGTTCTTTCTTTGCGGCAATTTTGCTTCTTTAGGTACCCATTRAACCAAAACTGAGCCTCATCTCTGAACAAAGTTTGCCACGTAAACGTCGGATCTTCTTGGAATTTTTCAATAGCCCATACAGCGTAGCGGTGTCACTTGGGACGTTCGAGCGGCTTCAGTTGTTGGACAAGGTGTACGCTTTCAATTTGAGATCCCGACGTAAAATGCGCTAAGTTTTTCCATACGTCAGTCCGAGTTGTTGCGAATGGCAYAGGATCGTCTTTCCACAGCCTTCGTGTGCACTCCCAGCTATTGCTGCTACATTTTCTTCTTTGCGTCCAGCACGCTGGTTCATTCTGTTGAATATTATTCAATACTGTTGGGTCTCAAGATAGCTGATGGTGTTGCGAAAAGTACGCTCAGTTGGCCGATTATGTTCAACGAAAGTTGAAGTTGAGCGAAACCCGCGAAATACATTCTTTACAGAACGTAAGTTTTCATAATTAAGTTGAACGATCCAACGTCAAAACGTTTTTCAGGCGTAAGTCCCTCCATGATGAAGTGAAAAAAACAATGCTAAACAAAAATAACAAAAAAGCATGTCACGACTTACGCATGATCTGTTAAAAAAAGACTTTTGAAAAAATAAATATACTTGGCTCACCCGTTATGTGTACCTAGGTAATACTGAGCGGTATTTGTATTTCTTGGCATCGAATGACAGCCAAAGCAAATATAAACACTCAAGCATTATTTGGAATATCAAGAGCTTTGTATAGAGCCCTCTACGTCTTCCCCTATTCTCTTCTTTTGGTAATTAATTTTAATATTTAAACGTACAACTTTATATGAAGGAATTATGAATGAAGGAAGGAAGCAAAAGATAAAAATCTTTTACGAACTTCTCTCTCTCTCTCTCTCTCTCTCTCTTTCAATATAAAATCAATCTCAGACCTTGATCTACAATAAAAAAAAAGGAGTAAATCATTGAATACTTTTAGAAGCGCATTTTTTCATTTTTTCAAGAGGGCTTCACATACTTGTAGTAAAATGTGAGATGAAGAATTAAAATAAGACTTAAATTTCCGATCGCTTCGAAAAAAGGTTAACCCATTTAGTATACCAACTGACGGAATTTGACATGGACTGTCACAAAAAAAAAAATTCTCAGGTATTTAAATAAAATTCTTTATTACATAATAGAATGCTGAGACAAAACAAGCAGGCCAATCCAAGTTTCAGTATAATTCTTTTAAGTCTCGACTGGGATGGCCTTCCGTATTTTCAGYGAGATTGGAACTTTTCGCTTCCACTCACTTTTGGAGCATGTTGTGAAGCAATCTCTATTTGTACAAAATTTTTTGAGTCGATATTTTGAGAGAGATGTTGAGATGTTCTGCTATCCCTCTGATCCCAAAACGACGATTTTCAAACGCTGTTTCATTTTCAACGTTATCGTCATTAAAAGAGAATGATGAGTGATTTTTTTAATTTTTTTTTTTTTTTTTTTAA